GTGGTTGAGGAATAGGAGCATCTTTCATTCTTGGGACCTGGGCCGTTAAACCTGGAGCTGGGCTTGCTGCAGGGGGCCTGGCAGGTTGTGCTTAGGAGAGGCAAACCTGGGATACACCAGGGTGGGATCTGGCCAGGAAATGCCCCCACTCGTAGCAAAGTGAATCTGTGGACCCCACTGGGCTGGCTGAGGACAGCATTGATTCAGAACCTGGACCTTGGACTCAAGTCCAAGCCCCACATCCTGTGTCTGTTGACTCTTCTCAAACCTCAGGCCCTCCTGGAGCTACTGGCTGAGGAGGCCAATGCTGGCTTCTAGACAGGGTGGAGGTCTGGAGAGAAGTAAAGACGAGACACAATGGGGGCCTCTGATCCCACCACACTTTGAAGCCCAATTTTGCAGCCAGCAGACTAGTGCCCAGCATCCTCCACTCATAGGCCAACCCCAGCACTAAGCTAGCTCTATAGATCACTTCACTCTTGGACCCCCCCTGAACTCAGGGCTACACCCCACTGATAATCTCTCCCTACTCTGGACTCCTACAGACATGCATTCATATGACCAGTCCCATGGTATCTCTCTGCCTTCCCCCAAAAAAATCTTTTGTGAAAAACCGACTGCAGGGTCCCTTAGCCAGCACCCCGCTTGCCCATTTCCATTCTGCTTGGAGTCAAGTGGACTGGCTCTTCTATTAGTCACTGAGAAGGATGCAGGGATGCTTCCTCCCTTCCAGGACAACTGGATAGAAAGAACCCTTGTGCTACACTGCCTGCTTTGCCACAAGACCATGGGCATTGGTTCCCTGGTTTTCCTGATTGGTTTCCCTGGAAGGCCAGCTGAATGGGAGGTGGTGAATTGACCTTGGACCTTGGGCACTCATCTGGCCTTTCTGAGGCTGAGTACTTTTCTCCAAAGTGATAGCAGTAAAAGCCGGGGCCAGGGCTACTGGGGTTTCTTGTTTTGTCGGTGGGGAAACAGAGGCAGAGAAGAAAAGGCACTTGGCTTGAATGATACAACTCCTAAGTTGGACTAGAGTCTGATCCCAAGAACTCCGAGGGGTTTTCTCTCCTGCTCTTAACCTTCTCCATTCTCCTGTGCAGGCCCAGGCCTAGTTATGCATGTAAGCTTCAGAGCGGGGACAGCTGAGGGCCCCCTAAGCAGAGCCAGACATCCAGACACACAGTATTCATTGCAGGGCGCCAGGGAGGTAGAGGGAGAAATTCCAAGGGGCTACACAGGAGGTATACTCCGACTGATTGCTTGGCCATTGCCAAGCTGCCTGGGAGCTGGCACAGGCCTGTGGAAAATACCAGCCAGCCTGGGTCCTTGGGCCAGCGTCATGTCTGCTCAAGAATCACCACACTGTCTCCATCCAGGTACCCTAAGAACACAGAGTTGGGAGCTCAACCCCTGTTAGAGCACTGGTCTGGGCTGCTGGGCACCCTGAGCTGAAGGGGACAGGAGACATGGCCCCAGAATCTAAATATCTAAACAGGAGAGGTGTCTGGCAGGGATCAAGGGCAAGGAGACAGTAGCTGCTGGATGTGCAGGACTGATGCCTAGGACACATGTTACCTAAAATGGCAGTGTGTGTCAAAGGATTCCCTGACAGTTGCTTAACCTCCAGCAGCACCTGTGAGGGTGGGAATTTGGGAGGACAGCTGGAGGCACAGCCAGGCGCCTGTGGGCAGACACCTCCTGTACCAGCAGCTGTGCTGCTGCCCCTCAGCTGCCCCCTCCTCCCTGTGTCGGCAGCTCTTTAGGCCAGATCTGAGCTTCCGATTTCCCTTGGCTGCCTTTGGGCCACCTTCCCAGACATTACCCAGGCACCCACAGATGGGCAAAGCTGACCTCTAGTAACCTCTTCTCCCAGCCCCTGTCAATTATTAGAATTGTTGCAAGCATGAAATGTGATATAGGTAGAGAAGCAAGCATACACTAGACAGAAATATACAATTTAACAAATGCTCATAAACACTATGCAACAGAAATAGCAGGCAGCTGGTCCTCAGAAACTCCCATTGTGGCTTCCTCTGGTTCTCCATGGTTCCATTCGAGTCTCATCTTTGCTTCCCTTTCTTGTCAGGCCACTTTTGTGATCCAATCTGAGCAAGAGAATCTTCCTAAGTTTCTGGGAAGTGTGTACAGCTCTGCGGTACTGTTGTAGTAAAGTGTCACATTGGGAGTGTTTGGGGCGCTCCCCTGGACAAGAGGTGGGGCTTGTGCAATCAAGCAACTGGGGGAGGTTTGAAAAAAATCCTAGTGTTTTGGTTTTTGTTGTTGAGACAGGGTCTGAAACTTCAATTGAAACCAAGCTGGCCCTGAACTCTGAGAGATCTACCTGCTTCTGGCTCTGAGTGCTGGGATTAAAGGCGTGCACTGCCATGCCCAGCTAAGAGTCCTGGTTTTGATCCCTTTGGAAACACGCCTCTGTGTCATCGAAGCATGGGTAGAGGTGACTCCTGACTTCACCAGCAGCTGCTCTTGTCTTGACTTATGCAACCTGTGGGCCCGTTTTGCATCAAAGGGAGAGAAGATTTTTATACTGGAGCAGTGGTTCTCAACCTTCCAAATGCTGCAACCCTTTAACACAGATCTTCATGTTGTGGTGACCTCCAACCATAAAATTATTATTGTTGCCTCTTTCTTTCTTTCGTTCTTTCTTTCTTTCTTTCTTTCTTTCTTTCTTTCTTTCTTTCTTTCTTTCTTCTTTCTTTCTTTTTTGGTTTTTCAAGACAGGGTTTCTCTGTATAGTCCTGGCTGTCCTGGAACTCACTCTGTAGACCAGGCTGGCCTGGAACTCAGAAATCCACCTGCCTCCCAAGTGCTTGTTGCAACTTTCTACCTTTATGAAGTGTAATGTAAATATCAGTGTTTTCTAACGGTCTTAGGCAACCTCTGTGAAAAGGTCATTAGAGTGCTCCAACAGGTTGAGAACTCTACCGGCTCTCACCTCTACTGATACAAAGCACTAAACCAACCGTCCCCAGGGGATCCTCTGCTGCTATTCCGTGTCAACTTTCACTTTCTTTCTTTTTTCTTTTTAAGATTTATTTATTTATTATATATGAGTACACTGTAGCTGTCTTCAGACACACCAGAAGAGGGCATCAGATCTCATTACAGATGGTTGTGAGCCACCATGTGGTTGCTGGGATTTGAACTCAGAACCTCTGGAAGTGCAGTCAGTGCTCTTAACCACTGAGCCATCTCTCCAGCCCCAACTTTCACTTTCTAAATCAAACTTTTGCTTACTGGCCTTCTGTTTCTATTCATTTTTTAAAAAACCTATGGGACCATGAACCTGGACAGAAGTCTGCTTCTCCTTTAACAAAAGCAGTTCACATATATTTTCTCAGTTAATTCTCATTTCTTCAAGTAGTTAGGAGCTATTATTTATTTTCCACACGTGGAGACTGGCAGAGCACCACTACAGCCTTTAGTTCCCTGACACAACATCTGTACACTTACCTCTAACTGCTACTAATTTATATTTATTGTATGTATAGTACAGCCTTTCTCTGCAGAGTGAGATGTTTACTGACCTATGCCACTGAAATGAAGTGTTTTATTTCCCCCCCTGTAATGCTGGGTTTTGAACCTAGGGCTTCACACCTGCTAGCTACCACTGAACTGACAACCTAGCCTTTTTACTCCCTTTCCCATTTCCTTTATGAGGCAGGGTTTGAATTGCTAAAACTACCCCAAGTTTTGAGACAGGGTCTTACTATGTAGCCCAGGCTGTTCTGGCACTTCTGATATAGATCAGAGTGGCCTTAAACTCAGAGATTCCTCCTGCCTTAGCCTCCCCAATTCCTCAGTGCTGGGATCACAGATCTATATACCACTTTATCCAATTTTTACTTATTTGTTTGATTGATTTTAAGACAGGGGTCTTGTTATAGTGCCCAACTAGCCTCCCAATTCCTGGGCTCATGTGATCTTTCTGCCTCAGCCACCTCCGTGCTTGGGGTATAGTACTAGTGCAGTATTTTTAATTATTGTGTTTGTTTGTTTGTTTGTTTGTTTTAATCATTATGAACTAGACTTTGAAGAATGAACAGCTAGAAAGAGGCAGGGCCTGTCCAGAAACTGGGGCTGGCAGAAAGTAGTTCTAAATAGTTGGAGAGCGACCTGTCTGGGGTCCTCAACAAGGACTAGCCAAAGTCACAAGTGTTCTGGCTCTCAGAGAAGCTAATCCAAAGGGAAGGGCTTGGAGGTGGACTGTACCCCAGCTCTAAGTAGGGCCTGACCTTCCTTCCCACTGTTGTTCCAAGAGATTGCAGGGGCATTTTAGGGAGACTGGCTATAAAGCATGATTTCTCACTTCTAGATTAAATTTATAAAGGTCCCTTTCTCGAAGAAGCAAGCACCATCCCACGTTTGTTCTGCGCAGGCCTTCTGCTAACCACTTGAAGGAAATCGTCCTAGGTTCCTCCGCTCCACGTTTTGAAGAGAGGTGACAACCTGAAGCTTGGGAAAGTCCAGCATGTACCGTAGGTTGTGAGGCCAGGAAGAGACTGAAAGGGGTCTGAGTTGAGCACAAGGTTCAGAACTAAATCTGCCTCAGAAGTAACTGATGCCTATTCACAAGGAGACTCCACCTTCTTAGAAGAGGCGTTCCCAATCGCTATTGAGGGGGTGATGAGGACCTGTCTGATTGTGCATAAGATTATGCGTAGTGGGACATTTGCTTGTGCTGCCCCAGTAGCAACTCCCTGAGAAAATGCCACTTGGCTGCAGGGCCTTACCTGCCACTTTTATAGACACGAATTTTAAGGCAGCCAATGGAGAGCAGCGGGTATGGGAACCATAGTCTAAAGGCCGACAAATGTCCTGGGGATACCGACAGAGAGGCCAAGGATCGTTTCCACCTGGCGCCTAGGACTAAGAATTTAGCTACCTAGTCTGCAATAGGCCCCGAAGAGGTGCGCCTGCGCAGTGAGAGTGCTCGGCCAAACTTCGGGGGCGGGGAGACTTCCGTGCGCACGCAGGACGCGAGGCGGAGCCAATGCTCCCGGCGCCTGACGGGCTGCACCAGGCGGGGGCGGGGCCACGTGCGAGCCTGGGCGGAGCCTCGAGGCCGGTTTGGAACTTTTGGCGCGAGCTGGCTCCGCGCGCGTTCACGGGCCGTTCCCCTTCTTGGAGGGTGCTTCGTCCCGGTGTCCAGAGGCCCCCGCTGCCCGACCCCGGCTTTGCCTGGCCTCTGCGAGGTCCCCAGCGGCCTCCGCCGACACGGAACCTGCGATCTCGCTGCTGCGCCCCGCCCAGCCTCCCCAGGTGAGCCCACACCCGGGTGAGGTCTCCCGACCGCGCCGCTCTTCCGCCCGGCGCCCTGGCCCGCGCTCCTGCCGCGCTGCGCCCCGTGACGGCCCCCGGCCTCCTCTCAGTGTCTGGTCGCCCCCCTGCAGCAGCCCCACCCCTCCCTGTGTGTCACGGGCCCTGGGATGACTCCAGGTCAGCGCTGTCGCCCACGCCCCGCCTACTCCCGCGGGCCCCTTGTCCCTTCCCACTGGGAGCCCCTTTCCCAGCACTGCCTCTCTTTCCCTCCGACGCTTTCTGGGAAGATTCCCCCACCTCTGGGTGACAGCCTGTCTACGCAATTGTTTGTCAGAGTTCCCCCTCGCCCACCAAGAGATTTCAGCAGCGGCCCTGCACGGGAGGAACTCACAGTCTAACGCTAGATGGTGGTCAACAGATGTGTCCAGCTCAGTAAGAGGGTGAGGCCCCTGGAAACCCCGGAGGTCGCCTGGCTGACTGGTGGCTCAGGTTCACTCTGGAATCAGCCGGGACTCCACTACCAACCCTTCTCACCCCATAAAGGCTGTATGACCAGGCAAGAGGTATTAGAATGTAAATGACCAGTGATGTTGAAACGAAAATGACATTGAGAGGGAACGGATTTTCTGGCTGATGACAGGTGATGGACTCCCAGGTGCTAGGCATGGAGACTGTATTCCTTCTTCCTTAAAAAAAAAAAAAAGTCTTTTTTTTTTTAATGTATGTGTATTTTTGTCCGTATGTGTGTCTCTGCACTACGTTTGTGCCTAGTGTCCATATAGGTCAGAAAAGAGTGTCAGATACCCCTGGAATTGGAGTTACAGACACCTGTGTGTTAGTGTGTCAGGGAATCAAACCTGATCCCTTGGAAGGGCAGCAAGTACTCTTACCTCCCCTCGCCCCCCCTTCAAGGCTGTATGTAAGTTTAATTAACCAGCATGATGGTGGATCTTGACAGTCTGAGTTCTACAAGAAGACCTAGAATGGGATTTTTTTCTTTTTTTCTAGGGTGGGCATCAAATGCAGGACCCTGATGATGCTAGGTGGGCACTCTATCTCTAAGCCAAAGGCCACTCTCCGGGATGAGATTCTTGAAATAAATAGAGCCATAACAAGAGAGCCTTCCAGCCAAGCCTTTTAAGTATCTAACCTAAGTAGCAATTTGATCTAGCTACCACCCGAGGCTAGGTGTGGCATCTTTTGATACATTGTGGCTTCCCCTAAAATGGACTCTTTCTGTTGCTTTTTTGCCCGTTTCAGTTACAACATTGTAGCAACCTTATGTCCCCTTTTGCCCCAGGGGCACCCAGTGAGTTACTGACACCATGACACTACTATACTTGAGTCCTTTCACCTACTATCTAAAGCACTGATGAAGACAGCAGTTAGCATTTATGCTAGACACCGGGCTTAAGCCCTTTGGCTTTCTAATGTCTGTACAGAGTTGCAGCTCCACAAACTCCTGGTGCCAGGTGCTATGAATTCAAAATAGCTCAGATTTAGGGCCTGGAGTTATATTAATAAGTCTGTTGGTTTAGCATTTGCCTAACATGAATCATGCCCTGAGTTTGATACACAGCACTGCAAAAACTAGATGTAGTGAGGCTTGTCTGTGATCCTAGCTCCCTGGAGATAGTGTCAGGACGATCAAAACCTCGCAGTTTCCGGTGGCTGCACATTGAGGGAGCTTGAAGACAGCTTAAACTAAGACCCTGTCTCAAAAAATCGAAATTAAGCCGGGCGGTGGTGGCGCATGCCTTTAATCCCAGCACTTGGGAGGCAGAGGCAGGAGGATTTCTGAGTTCGAGGCCAGCCTGGTCTACAGAGTGAGTTCCAGGACAGCCAGGACTACACAGAGAAACCTTGTCTCGAAAAACAAAACAAAAAAAAAACAACAAAAAAAAATCGAAATTAAAAATAAGTAAAAATAAAATAAATCTCAGATTTAGAAAGCTGTTATGGTCTCATAGTTAGAAAGCACAGATGTAGGGCTGAGGATGTAGCTCTGGGAGAATGCTTTCCTGACATATGGTAGCAGGTTTAACCCATAATGACCAATAGCTTTTAAATAATGGTTTGATCCATAAATGAATAATAGCTATTGAAAAGGCATCCTAAGAAAGCATATATGTAGCTGGGCGGTGGTGGTGCACGCCTTTAATCCCAGCACTTGGGAGGCAGAGGCAGGCGGATTTCTGAGTTCGAGGCCAGCCTGGTCTACAGAGTGAGTTCCAGGACAGCCAGGGCTACACAGAGAGACCCTGTCTCAAAAAACCAAAAAAAAAAAAAAAAAAAAAAAGCAAGCATATATGTATAAGACCACTAGTGGATCTGGGGCATCCATTCCAAGATCAAACACTAATATTTCTATCAATGAATGTCAGTTAGTGGTAGCTCATGCCTGTAATTCTAGCACTTAGAGGGCTGAGGATTGCTTCAAGTTCAAAATCAGTCCAGGTTACATAGACTTTTCTCAAAACAAAGTAAAACTATAAATATACTGAGTGGGAAAAATAGATAAAGTTGATTTTTTTCCCCTGTAGTAATTTTTTTTCATGTAGCTACACAGTTATCTCTGTCATTTGTTGAAAAGATTCTTCTTTCCTGTAGAGTTGTTTGGCACCCTTTTTGAAAATAAGTAATTCCAGCTCTCTGGAGGTTGAGGCAGGAGGCCGTTCAAAGCCAGCTTGAACTACATAAATGAGTTCTGTCTTGAGAGGGGAAAACACAAAACAAAATTTTTTTGAGGCAGGGTCACTCTATGTAGTCCTGGCTGTCCTGCAACTTGCTCTATAGACTAGGCTGGTCTTGAACTCACAGAGATCCGCCTGCTTCAGCCTTCCAAGTGCTGGAGTTAAAGGTGTGTGCACTGTGCCTAGCTTTAAAGAAAAATTGATTTAACCATAAATTTTAGAACCCTTAGTTGTATCCCCTTCATCTTTATGTGAATAAACTTTTTTGATTGCTGTAGATTTGTAGAAAGTTTGAACATTTGGAATTATGAATCTTCCAAATTTAGTCTTTTGTGAGTTTGACTGAAAGTAGGGTGCTCGGTCTCCTGAACAGACAAATGAATTGTAGAAGCAAGTTGTTATTTTTTTTCTCCACTTTCTTTTTTCTGAAACAAGGTTTAGCCCTGGCAGTCCTGGAACTTTCTCTGTAGACCAGGCTGGCCTCAAACTCACAGAGGTCCATCTGCCTCTGCCTCCCAAGTGCTGTAATTAAAGGTGTGCACCAACACTGTTGCCAGGGATGCTAATTGTTTTCATTAATGAAGCCAGCTGGAATTCTAATAGGGATTGTACCTTTTGAGCTGAAGGCCTTTACTTTGTTTGAAGAAAAGTCTGGTAACACTGTACCAGAACTATACATCAGTCCACAATTTCCAGACCATTGCCATGAACAGATTTCTCCTTTTATTTAGGCCTTTAGTTCTTTGTATGTACATTTGGGGGTGGGGGGGTGTCTCTGCAAGCACTAGGGTTAATCTCTGAGGCAAGAAGAAAATCCAGTTCAACAGTTCGACTCAGTAGCTGGTGTTGGTTCAAACGTCTAGAATTTGACACTGAGTAGTTTATTATAGTTATATTTAAGTACAGTACAATTTGGAAAAAGGTTTCCTGGTGTAACACAATCCCTTCTATACAAGGAAGCATAATTAGATCAAAACTCTTCTCAGTTCTATAGGCTACATGTGTTATCTAAGGCCTAGGGAAGGATCTGGTCAGCAGTCATCTGGGCTATTAGCCACCTCCGGTTCTGCTTGGGGCAGCCTGGGGGAGCCAGGTATGGCCTGGCTGTCTAGCACAGGGGTTAGGCTATTAGCCACCTCTATTCCCAGCCCTCTGGGTAAAAGAGGTCTTTTTGTTTGAATGACAACTGTGTGTGTTTAATGTTCTTGGTTTCCCTAGTGCTAACTGTGAGTGCCCCCAGCATATATCCATTCATTTTGGTTTTGGTAATAGGGATCAAACCAGGACCTATCACATGCCAGGGAAGTATTCTGCCACTGAGCCAGTGAGCTACATTTCTTCTTATTCTTCCTCCTCTTCTTCTTCCTCTTCTTTTTCTTCCTCCTTCCCCCCTTTCGTTTTTCTTTCCTTTTTTTTTTTCTAGACAGGGTCTCACTATGTATGTAGCCCTGGCTAGCCTGGCTCTCTCTGTGTAGACTAAGTTGGTCTCAAGCTCATAAAGACTCTATGCCCCCTGAATGCTGGGATTACAGGCATGTGCCGTCGTGTGCCGTCGTGCCCAGCATTTCTTCCTAGTCGCTTGTTTGTCTTGTTTGTTTATTTTATGTGTATGGTGTTTTGCCTGAACGCATGCCTATGTTTTATAAGTGAGTAGTGTGTGTGGAGGCCAAAAGAGGGTGTCAGCTTCCCCAAGCAGCCGTGTGGGTGCTGAAAACCCCAGAAGAGCAGCCACTCCTCGGCTGCCTCGTTAGCCCCTTCTTCCTTTTTTTTTGAGACAAAATCTGCCTATGTGGCCCAGGCTGGCCTCAAGTCTGTAAACTTTGTGTTTCAGTCTCCCTACTGGAATTACAGGGATACACACCATGCCACAACTAAGACCTAAAGCTTTCACTCACTAAAAAAATAGTTGTTATTATCAGGGTGTGATATGCTACCACACGGATGTGGCTAGTTGTCAGTCTTTCAAGGCGAGTGTTTTTATCTGCTCAGTCATCTTTCAGGTCCTTTTTTTTTTCTTGTTGGCCTTGAATTCTATATGTAGCCAAAGATAGCCTTGAACTGCTTCCTTATCCTTTTGCCTCTGCCTCCCAAGTAGGTGACAGTCACTGTGCCCAGCTCCATTCACTATCCGCCCCCCCCCCCCTTACTTTTTTGACATTGCCAGACATGAACATCTCAGTATTTCAAAGTCAAGTTTTCCTGGGGCAGCCTCAGGGCTCTGTTGTACAGATTGCCTCTACCCCTGGGCAATCTATCTAAGCCGTGCTGTGGAACAGTGGTGCCCTTTTCCCTGGCTGGCCCTGTTGCCTTAGAAGCAGGATGCTGGCCAGGCAGTGGTGGTATACGCCTTTAATCCCAGCGCTTGGGAGGCAGAGACAGGCGGATTTCTGAGTTCGAGGCCAGCCTGGTCTACAGAGTGAGTTCCAGGACAGCCAGGGCTACACAGAGAAGCCCTGTTTCGAAAAAAAAAAAGAAGAAGAAGAAGAAGCGGGATGCTGAGACAGGACAGAGGCCTCTGGCATGCCCTCTGCCTCTTCCAGTGTGGAGCTCTCTTCCTATGAATGAGCTGGGGTTGGAACCAAGGGCTTCTCAGCCTCCAATGTAGAACTTCCATCTTGTCTTTCACTGGGGCAGGAGAGAGAAGAACGGAATCTACCACTCAACTAAAAACCAGCCTCTGCCCCGTGGAGTTAGTGGGAGGCTGAGTGATGCTGAGAGCCTGCTCTCCTAGGCAAACACCAACTGTGACAGGGAGTGGAGGCAGCAGAACCTCACCTCCAAGCCTCAGATGGCACTGTGTGCAACTGTGTGATGGTCTCTTCTTTTCCTTCTCTGCAGGTGCTTGTGGCCCACACAGCCTTCATGTGGACAGTACGACGTGTGTGTGGCAAAGAAGTGGCTCTCTTGTGGGCCACAGGATCAAGTACTGCTTGAGTGGACACATTGCTTTGTGCTCTGACCCTCTAGTGTTGGCCATGTCCATGCCCACTGAGGGCACCCCACCACCCCTAAATGGTACCCCCATCCCAGTTCCAGCTTACTTCCGACATGCAGAGCCTGGTTTCTCCCTCAAAAGGCCTGGGGGCCTCAGCCGGAGCCTTCCACCTCGGCCCCCTGCCAAGGGCAGCATCCCTATCAGCCGTCTATTCCCCCCTCGGACCCCGGGCTGGCACCAGCCCCAGCCCCGGAGGGTGTCTTTCCTGTGTGAGACCTCAGAGACCCTGCAGAGTCCTGGGTATGACCCGAGCCGGCCAGAGTCCTTCTTTCAGCAAAACTTCCAGAGACTCAGCCGCCTGGGTCATGGCTCCTATGGAGAAGTCTTCAAGGTAAATGAAGGGTGGTTTCCCAGGCTTCTCTGGGGAGCCTCTTTGCCTTGGGTTCCCCTCCTTCAGTGGGAGAGTGTCCTCGGCATCCTGCTGCCCTTTTTTCTCTGACACCTGCCTCTAAGGCTTACAGCCACCTCTGCATCCCAAGATCAAGTACCTCCAAGAGCTGCCTCATGCACACTGGCTTTGTGTCCAGGCTAGCACAACCCACAGCAAGTCTCCGCTCTCTGCCTGGAGATGGCCGTGCTGGGGTCCATGACTAGTTCTGTCTGACCTGGATCTGATCCCAGTCCCCACCGATTCCCTAGGTTAGCAGGCTCAAGAGCTGTTCCTCTCCCTGGCCCAGCATCCTTTCCCATTTTCTTTTCTTTTTTTTTTTTTTTTTTTTTTTTTTGGTTTTTCGAGACAGGGTTTCTCTGAGTAGCCCTGGCTGTCCTGGAACTCACTCTGTAGACCAGGCTAGCCTCGAACTCTCAAACTCAGAAATCCGCCTGCCTCTGCCTCCCAAGTGCTGGGATTAAAGGCGTGCGCCACCACCGCCCGGCATCCCATTTTCTTTTCTTTTTTTTTTTTTTTTTGGTTTGGTTTGGTTTTTCAAGACAGGGTTTCTCTGTGTAGCCCTGGCTGTCCTGGAACTCACTCTGTAGACCAGGCTGGCCTCGAACTCAGAAATCCTCCTGCCTCTGCCTCCCAAGTGCCGGGATTAAAGGCGTGCGCCACCACTGCCCAGCCATTTCCCATTTTCTTTTCTATTTTTTTAAAAAGATTTATTTACACACACACACACACACACACACACACACACACACACTGTAGCTGCTGTCTTCAGACACAACAGAAGAGGGCATTGGAACCCATTACAGATGGTTGTAAGACACCAATTGGATGCTGGGAATTGAACTCATGACCTCTGTAAGAACAGTGAGTGCTCTTAACCACTGAGCCATCTCTCCAGCCCATCATTTTCTTTAATATGGTTTTAATTTTCCAATTATATTTCTCCTAAAATAGTAGCTTTCCTTTATGCAAGCATTATTTAAAAGCAATTTTATTTAAAATGCAAGCACCACAGACCCTTGCATCAGTTTTCCTTACCAGAGAAAAGCTTGGACACACCAGAGCACACTGCTCATTGTTTTGGGGACTACCATTTTCTCTTAGCACTGGACCCTAGTCAGAGGGCATACATAGGTCTGCCCTATTCTCTGTTCCTGGGTCTCTGATGCACTGTCCTGCAGTGGACATGTGTCCAGTTAGTTATCATTGTAGGCAGGGGTCTAAGGTGACATGTATTTCCCTACATTGTGAAATCTTAACAGCATTCTTTGATTGCTCTGCCTCCCTTCCAGGTACGCTCCAAGGAAGATGGGCGACTCTATGCTGTTAAGCGCTCCATGTCGCCATTCCGAGGCCCCAAAGACCGGACTCGTAAGCTGGCTGAGGTAGGCGGCCACGAGAAGGTGGGGCAGCACCCACACTGCGTGAGACTGGAGCGGGCCTGGGAGGAGGGTGGCATCCTATACCTGCAGACAGAGCTCTGTGGGCCCAGCCTGCAGCAACACTGTGAAGCCTGGGGGGCCAGCCTGCCAGAGGCCCAGGTCTGGGGCTACTTGCGGGACACTCTGCTGGCTCTGGACCATCTACATAGTCAAGGCCTAGTTCACCTTGATGTCAAGCCTGCCAACATCTTCTTGGGGCCCCGGGGCCGCTGCAAGCTGGGCGACTTTGGACTACTGGTAGAGCTGGGTTCAACCGGTGCTGGCGAGGCCCAGGAGGGAGATCCTCGCTACATGGCCCCAGAACTGCTTCAGGGCGCCTATGGCACAGCAGCAGATGTGTTCAGGTGAGGCTGGGACAGGATCTATGTGAGCCCTTTATTGTGGCTTTTCAGCAGAAGGGGAGGGACTGCCCAATAGAGGAGCTCTTTCCTGGCACTAGGGTAGAAGGGCATTCCAGCCTGGGAGGTTTCCAGGGTAAGCAACAAGCCTGCCAAAGGCCCCTTCACATTGTAGGCTAGCCATCTCCTCACAGCCCCGTGGCTGTGCTCCAGGGCTGGGAGAGTAATGAGGCAAGGGACTTGTCAAGTCCACAGTCAACATCTGGGACTATAGCCAGGCCCAGGGTTTTGAGTCCATACTTGCTACTACTGCCCTGTGTCATTGTATTCTGATTATGTCTACAGAATGTTGATGCTAACCCTAATAATCATGGAAACCAATTTGCATGTCAGTGTGGTTCTGATGGAACTTCACTGCACCAGGTTAACTGCTTGAGTGTGGGGTGCATAATTCACAACAAGGTGTCCATCTTGACTGGTGCTCACTGGTCCTCCAGGGCTCTCCTTAAAGCTCCTTACCCCTCTCTCACTAACTTTATGGCTTATAGTAGAAGAGGACAGCCTTTTCCCACCAAGATGCTGGTTAGGACTGGGATCTGTATCAAAAAGCTGACACTGCCTCTTTTTGTCTTCGTGCCCTGTCCTTCCTAGTCTGGGTCTCACCATCTTGGAAGTTGCCTGCAACATGGAACTGCCCCATGGTGGAGAGGGCTGGCAGCAACTGCGCCAGGGATACTTGCCCCCTGAGTTCACTGCTGGTGAGTGGGGGTTCAAAAGAGCCAGCTATCACCAGCTTCTGACAAGTGGTGTCAAGTGGTAGAGGGCATCATTGGACTAAGGGCCCAGTCAGTACCCTAGCCCGACATGGCCCTGCCTCATCGGCAGGTCTGTCTTCTGAGCTGCGTTCTGTCCTCACCATGATGTTGGAGCCTGATCCCCAGCTTCGAGCCACAGCTGAGGCCCTGCTAGCCTTGCCCATGCTGAGGCAGCCACGCCCCTGGAATGTTCTGTGGTACATGGCTGCAGAAGCCCTGAGCCGAGGTTGGGCCCTGTGGCAGGTAAGTCTTTATGGTGCTGGGCTATCTTACCTGGTTTCCTGAGGCTTACTTCTGAACTTACCGTATGGATCAGGTTGTCCTCAAACTCATCATCTTCCTACCTCAGCCTCCCAAGTGCTGTGATTTGTCACAAGGCTTGGTTTCTGAGGCTCACTCTTTCCTTAGGCCCTGGTCACTCTGCTCTGCTGGCTCTGGCATGGCCTGGTTCATCCTGCCAGTTGGCTTCAGCCTCCAGGCCCACCAGCCACACCACCTGGCTCTCCGCCTTGCAGCCCCCTCCTGGACAGCACCCTCTCCAGCAGCTGGGATGACGACAGCATAGGGTGGGTGCGAAAACCGGGGAATAGGGGTGGTGTGTGTGTGTGTGTGCATCACTGTGGCCAATGCAAGGGGTCTTGGGCCCATCACACTCAGGGGACAAAGACTGCCAGTGTAGAGGTAGCTTGTGGTCCATGTGGGCAGCTGTGACATTCAGCGCAGGATTTCAGTCCCCACCTCTGTAGAGGCTGCCCTGTTCAGAGATTAAGTGCTGTCTTCCCGAGTGGATGCCTTCCAGTACCTGGTAAGCCCCTGTCCTGAGAGGATTCCCTTGCTCCCAGGTGTCTGCTAGCCAAGGAAAGAATATATAATTAAGAAACAGCTGCACTGAGGAACCATAAACTCTCAGGATTCCCTCTCTTTATAGAGCCATTCCCCTCACTGAAGCTCTTTCTAACATAGCAAAATGCTAGAAAACCTGCATTTACCAAAACTCACACCCAGCTCAGCTGAACCAGAAAAGGGACAGAGTTAACCCATGAACATGGTCTTGACAGCTGCCAGTGTTTATTTCAATTGTGGCCTTGTACCTTCACCAACCAGGGGCCTGGAACCAAGAAGGAGCAGAGCTGTTTATATCCTGCTTTGCCCAACCCTCAGTACCCTGCTTGATCTCTTTCTTGTAGCCCCTCACTCTCCCCAGAGACCATCCTGTCCCGGATCACTAGGAGAACCTCTACTCCTCGGGGCAGGTACATACCGAGGTGAGGAGGTGAGCAGGCCCGGGGTCTAGGGTTGGGTACAGTTGTCTTTAGGATCCAATGTCTTATGCCTGTTTTTCCTCCCCCAAGGGATGCCCTGGAACTAACTGATATGGACTCAGAGCCTCCAAGAGGTCCCTGCCCCACCTTTGAGCCCAGGAACCTCCTCAGCCTGTTTGAGGACTCCCTAGACCCAGCCTGAGCCACAGGCCCAGCCAGCCTTGGTGCTTTTAAACCTCTGATCTTCTTGCCCACCTCTCCCCCTGAAACTTGTGTATCTAATAAAAAGTAATGAGTCTTGGGTACACCCAAGACTGCTCATGTGGCAACACAGCGCGTCTTGTCCGTTTATTGATGTTGCCTAGGGTCTTGGGCCTTTGGGATGATCTGGCTGTGAGTTGGTACCCTGCTATAGAGTACCCTTGGGCCAGCAGGCTGAGCCACCCACTGTATAGAGATTTCCTGAGCAGACAAGTCTCTGGTGGTCAGGTCAGTCAGTCCATGGCACTGAAGAGCTGAGTCCTTGGTCTAGTGAAGCCTGAATCCAAAGCCTCCATTCCACATCTGTGTCTGTTGCCTAGGAAAAGCAGGAGCTCCCCTCAGGTCTCCTGACCAGATAATACAAGCAGGACCAATGTCCACTTGGTTCTGAGAGAAGCCTGGTCCCACTCCTCTGCATCCTCGCTGCAGGAATGACAGGAACAGCAAAATTCTGGCTGCTGAGAGGTTTGGCATGCAGAGCAGGAGATGGAGGTCAGGAAGCAGGGTTAGAGAAGCTAGTTCAAGAATCCAGGAGGTGTCGGATGGGAGCAGCAACATGGGGTAGTGGTTCTGGGCTGGAGGCTTGGTAAGCTGGCAGGACTCAACCGTCAGAGACTCTCACAGGTCAAATAGGGTAAATGGGAAAAAAAAATGGTTTTCTTCTAATGACAGCAAAACAGTGCCCTGGAAGAAGATGGCAAGGAGAGGAGTAGCTGGGATTTGAAGGTCTGGGTGCAAGAAGAGATTAATCCATGGGAAAAAATGAAGAGTGGTCTCCCAGCTAGGAAGTCCCATGTGCTGGTTCTTCCAGGGAACCAGCCCCTTGCAGACCAGCAGGAGGAAAGGTGGTGTAATTTGTCCCAGAAAGCTGTGGGCAGGCCGGTTTGGCAGCTAGGAGGCAGCTCAGTCTGGGGGACAGGCATGGTGTGCAGCCCAGAGCAGGTCAGGCACAACCCCAGCATGGAGCTGGAGGATGGAACCCACACTCAGCAAGTGCATGATCTGGTGGGAGTTGCCCCAGTAGTCGAAGCGACCAGGCCCCCAACGCTCTGGCAGACGTGCCACATTCACCAGCCCTCCCAGCAGTGCCAGTGCATCCATGCGCAGGTAGCAGGGCAGGGAGCCTGGAGCCCCTGAACCCAGCCCCACTCCACGGGCCCCAAACACCAGCAGGCGGGCCCCAGCTTGCCAACCAAAGGCTCGAAGCCGGGCACTGGTGGAGGGAGCAGTGAGAGCTCTCCAGCCAGCTACACCTGACAGTGCAGTGTAACCCATCAGGGCAGCTGGGCGAAGCCAGGGTCTGCAAGCCAGGGTGCAATGGATGATGGGCAGGGCCCCTGCAGAGAGAGAGAGAGAGAGAGAGAGAGAGAGAGAGAGAGAGAGAGAGA